GATTCGAACCCACCACCTTAGGTGTATGTGGCTGGCGCCTTAGCCGCTTGAGCCACAGGTGCCGAGCCACATGTGTAGGTTTTATCATATAATTGATCATTTATCACTTTTTTTCAAATGTGCAGAAAGTGTTTTATTGAATATGTAGACACACATGTCAAGTGCACAAACATGTGCAGCTGTAGGTTTGTTTTTGGAGTAAAGTTGGCCCTTAAGGGTTCAAGTTTGTTTGAGCTCCCGGTCTGGGTGACACCTGCTTCCTCCCTGTCCTTCTTCTTTATACCCTGGGTGGTGTCAGGTGATGTGCCACTTTCCCTTGGCACTGACTCTTGTTGGGCCGTTGACTTGACTGAACTTTGTGGTGTTTTTGCTAGAGTGTCACTGAGCAGGGAAGTGAGGGACACGTCACTGCAGTCCCTAGGTTTCCTGCAGGCTGGTGTTAGAATGGAGTCCCACTGGAGCAGGCTGGTTCGTTGGGGTTTTGGCATTCAATGCTTGAAATGGGAAAAAGGGACCTAAGATTATCACTGAGGAGCCTTGAACCTTTTCTTTGCTGCAGGGGCATAAGAGGAAGAACTGGAAGGTGCGCCGCTTTGTTCTGAGAAAGGACCCAGCTTTCCTGCATTACTACGACCCTTCCAAGGTGACAGCTGCGTGCCCGCGGGTGCTGCCACCCGTGCCCCTCCTCCATGCCTGCTGCACAGCACCTTTCCTTCCACAGCCCCAGCTACTCTTGCCCTTCAGCGCATAGTTGCCTGCTTCTTAGTTGTTTCTTCTGGGCCCACCCCACCCTCACTTCCTACGAGAGGAGATCTCCACCATTTTTAGAGGAAAAGCATCTTCTGGTTTCCCCCGAATCTGCTTTGTGAGTAGGGAGGGTGAGGTGAGCTGTCCGTGCGACTCCTACCTGGCATTTCCCAGTCTCTTCACACTTTTCTGAAGAGCCTGTTAATTCTGCCTCCCTCAACTTTTTGTCCCCACCTAAGCTTTTTATTTTTAGAGACAGGGTCTCACTCCATTGACCAGGCTGGAGTATAGTGGCATCATCATAGCTCACTGTGACCTGGAACTCCTGGGCTCAAGCCATCCTCCCACCTCAGCCTCAGGAGTTGCTGGGACTACAGGAGCCTCCCACCACACCTGGCTAATTGTTTACAGAATTTCATTTATAGGCTTGGCACCCATAGCACAGTGGTTACGGCGCCAGCCACATACACCAAGGGTAGCCGGCCTGGGTCAGCTAAACAACAAATGACAATTGTAATAATAAATAGCCAGGTGTTGTGGGGGGCGCCTGTAGTCCCAGCTACTTGGGAGGCTGAGGCAAGAGAATTGCTTAAGTCCAAGAGCTTAAATTTGCTGTGAGCTGTGACCCCATGGCACTGTACCCAGGGTGACATAGTGAGACTCTGTCTCAAAAAAAAAAAAAAAGAAAGAAAGAAAACATAGGTAGAGGCTGGACGCAGTGGCTCACACCTATAATCCCAGCACTTTGGGAGTTCAAGGCAGGAGAGTCCTTTGAGGCCAGGAGTTTGTGACCAGCCTGGGCAACATAGTAAGGCACTGACTGTCTATAAAAGAAAAAAATTTTTTTTTAGTCAGAGTCTCACTATGTGGCCCTGGATAGAGTGCCATGGTATCACAGCTCATAGCAACCTCAAGCTCCTGGGCTTAAGTGATTCTCTTGCCTCAGCCTCCCAAGTAGCTGGGACTACAGGCTCCTGCCACAATGCCCAGCTATTTTTTGGTTGGAGTTGTCATTGTGTTTGGCAGGCCCTGGCTGGATTCGAACCTGCCAGCTCCGGTGTATGTGACTGGCACCCTAGCCACTGAGCTATAGGCACCAAGCCCCTACCTGTTTTGAAAAGGTTATTTTATTATCGTATAATATTTAAGACATAATTTATTAATTTTCTTGTTTTTTATTCAAAAAATTGCTGTTCTGAGTTTCTGATAAGTATTACCACATGTTAACTTGATCTAATTTCAATGAAAAGAAAAGAAAAATGGCCATTCCCTTGAGTTGTTCAGCTGGTCTTAGTAAACATGATTTTCATTAGTTTTTTTTTTGTCCAGGGCCTGGTTTGAACTCACCACCTCCAGTATATGGAGCCAGCACCCTACTCCTTGAGCCACAGGTGCTGCCCAATTTTCATTAGTTTTTTTAAACAGTAAAGAGTGGGCAGTTCCTCACTTAGCTGCAGTCAGAAACCCCTACCCTCAACTGAGATGAAGTGATGGAGGCCCCTGGAACCCTACCAGGCCACAGACAGTCCAGAGCCAGGGAAGGGCGTGGCCACTGGGCCACCCAATTGTCAGCCAACTTGATCACCAAATGAAATGGTTGGCTTCTTCACGGGTCATGGTTGCCTTGCCACCAAGTTCCCTCCTTGACTACCTCAAATCCTTCTGGTAGCAAGAGAAAAAAGTAAACAAATAAATGAAATAGATGCCTGAGTTTTGTATTTTTTTTTTTTTTTTTTGAGATAGAGTCTCACTTTGTCCCCCTCAGTAGAGTGCTTGGCATCACAGCTCACAGCAAACTCAAATTCTGTTTTGTTTTTTTTTTTGAGACAGAGCCTCAAGCTGTTCCCCTGGGTAGAGTGCCGTGGCATTACAGCTCACAGCAACCTCCAACTCCTGGGCTTAAGCAAGTCTCCTGCCTCTGCCTCTCAAGTAGCTGGGACCACAGGTGCCCGCCGCAACGCCCGGCTATCTTTTGGTTCCAGCTGTCATTGTTGTTTTGGCGGGCCCGGACTGGATTTGAACCTGCCACCTTAGGTGTGTGTGGCTGGCACCTTAGCTACTTGAGCCACAGGCGCCGAGCCAGCAAACTCAAATTCTTAGGCTTAAGTGATTCTCTTGCCTAAGCCTCCCAAGTAGCTGGGACTCCAGGCTCCCACCACAATGCCCTGCTATTTTATTTTTGATTGTTGTTTGGCAGGCCCGGGCTGGATTCAAACCGGCCAACTCCAGTGTACATGGCCAGTGCCCTTGCCGCTGAGCTATAGGTACCTAGCCTGGGTTTTGTATTTAATTCTCTTTACAGTCCAGCCCAACCTACTTTGTGCCCTAGAGGAGTCCCTGCCTCAGCCCAGCACCATTTATACATTCTGCATTTCATTTGCTCCCTGGGTTTCCTCTCACTCTTCATCCTTTTGGGCTGAATGCTCCTACTGCCCCCTGGACTGACTGACTTCTTAAGGTCCACTCCAGGTCTCCAGTCCCTCCTGAGGCTGCCCTTAAACCCTCCAGGCTGCCCTTCCTCCTCTGAACTTTATCTCCTTTGGCATTTAATAGTGTTAGCGTTTCTGGTATTGCTGTTTAGCTTTGTGGTTTGCTCTGCTTCTCACTGGGCCCAATGTACAGTATGAAGGTGGTTATTGATTAATTGAAAGGATACAGTGGTGGTGGTGGTGGTGGTGGCGGCTGGAGGCCAGTGTGTAAAACTGCTCTGAGTCATCCAGAGATACCACAAACCACAGTTTTGTTTCATACAAAGTTTCATGCCAAGCACATCCTAGAGATTTGTATGATGGTGTCCAATGTGTAAGAATCTATCAATTTTGCATAAATGACATCTATAAATACATATTTTCTCTGATTGGCTGGTAAGATGCACACACAGCTTAGGGAAACATGTGCTTCTCCTAGAAGAGAGGTCTTTTTGAGACATCCCTGGGAGTGAAAAGCAGATTGATTTTCAAGTCCTCCAGACTTGGCAAGAGCAACATTGGTAACAGCGGGTACCGTGTTTCCCCGAAAATAAGACACTGTCTTATATTTATTTTTTCTCAAGAAGACACACTAGGGCTTAATTTCAGGGAATGTCTTATTTTTTATTACGTATGCTACAACAATCTACATTTATTCAAATACAGTTAAGTCATCTTCTTCTGGAACCTGACAGGGGGAGCTGACCTTGTTGGTGGGGCTGGCACTAGTGATGCGTCAACTCCTTTCCCCTAGCAGTTAGCATGTGCGCAGTAGGATGCCTGTGACCATGGTTACCACCTGTGCACCCGCGCAAGTGCGAACGTGGAGAAAGGAACCGTGGCAGATAAACAGTATTCGGTGTTCCTTACTGCTGCGGGCTGAAATGCAGGGTGTGACTATGCAGCCTATCTGCATCATGAGGTCTTATTATCAGGGTAGGGCTTATATTTAACAAATGCATAGAAATCCTGCTAGGGCTTATTTTTTGGGTAGGTCTTATTTTCGGGGAAACATGGTACTACCACTGCTGGCTGTGAAATGAAGAAGCCTAAACTTCCTTACTGGTGGATTCAGCCTGACAACGTTGTCCAAGTTCAGCTTCATGTTCTATTTATTACTAATGCCTTGCAGTAACTTCTTTAGCCCTCCTGACTGAGGGGGATGATAGGGGAGAGTGCAACTCCTTTTTGTGCATTCACAAAATTCCTAATTAGGTTTTCTTTCCTCTGCAGGAAGAGAACAGGCCAGTGGGTGGGTTTTCTCTTCGTGGTTCTCTCGTGTCTGCTTTGGAGGATAATGGCGTTCCCACTGGTAAGGTGCAACTTTGGCCTGAGTCTGAAGATTGCAGGGGCCTCCTGCCTGCACCTCAGTAATGCTGCACTGATAAACACTGAGCTTTGGAAGCTCAACAGGGCTTTCTCATTGAGACAATGAGTGGCATGAGTTTTGAATTTCAGAATTGAAATTCAGAGTCTGTGGGGTATTCTTAGTGTTTTAAGAATACAATTGAAAATTCCTTGTTGTTTGGTGTGAGGTGGCTTGCATCTGTAATCCTAACACTCTGGGAGGCTGAGGTGGGTGGGCTACCTGAGCTTACGAGTTTGAGACTAGCCTGAGCAAGGCCAAAGACTCCTTCTCCACTAAAAATAGAAAAATTAGCTGGGTCTTGTGGCAGGCACCTTTAGCCCCAGCTACTTAGGAGGCTGAGGCAAGAGGCTCTCTCAAACTTAGAGTTTGAGGTTGCTGAGTTATGATGCCCCAGTGCTTTACCCAGGGCAAGAAAAAAAAAAAAAAGAAATCCTATCTTTAATATTCTTGCCTTTCAGTTTCTGTACTGTTAGCCCCAAAACTTCCACCTACTAGCTAAGGCTTATGCTCTTGGGTTAACACACTTGAATAGCTGTTATAATTGCATTAACTTCACAATAGGCAGCTGTGGTAGGAAAATAGTATTATTCCCATCTTATGGATGTGGAATTGAGGTTTAAAGAACTTAAACCGGCTCAGCACCTGTGGCTCAAGTGGCTAAGGCGCCAGCCACATACACCTAAGGTGGCGGGTTCGAATCCCCAGCCCGGATCTGCCAAACAAC